AGAAAACAAAAGGCAGTGCAAATAAACACAAACATTCAAACTAGAGATGATGATAAACATAAGGCAATGATCCGATCAAAGAGCTGCTTATAAGTCTTTAAATACCCGGAGGGGGAGATGGATTATCATAATACTGAATGCATTGATATATGCAGTGAGCCAATCTAATTTCAAAAACTTTAAAGTAGAGAGCACAAGGTTTAAATCATCAAAAATTTGTTCAAAGCAAGGTATGAAATGAAATACTTAATTCACAAGATAATTAATGTACTTATTTGTTAACCCTGGGTGCCAGAGGGTTTTTTTGTGCCTGTTTTTTTGTCTCAAAATACAGTGTTGTCTGGTATAGGTGAACAGTCTCATGCATTTAATATCTGCATTCTCATCTTGAAGTGAAACTAATACCTGATGCCATTGCGACACTGCTTGAGTCACTTTGGACTGCACTTGCTGAGGAAGGCCTGGGCAAAGGAATATTTGAATAACAAGCCTACAACAAGAGAAACATAAACATGCCACAGTACCTGAAAGAATTGTTTACTCTGAGATCTGTTGGCTACTCTATGAGAGGAACCAATATTCTTACTCTTTTTAGACCTGTTACTACTACTTATGGCATAAACTCTTTCAGTTCTACAGCTGCTAAGTACTGAAATGCGCTACCGGATAACTTATGAGCTATTTCGTTCTTAAATTGTATTTCAGCAATTCATCAACATAATTTTATTATATGATGAGCTAATAATAATGATAATAATATTCTCATATTATTTCTAGTTAATGTAAAAAGTATTTCATTTTATTCTAGGATTAAAATTCTTTTTTTATTTTTTACTCAGAGATAGTAGCCTACCTTTGGCTACTCTTAATTCGAGATGAAATAAAGTTTTATGTATGTTTGTGAAATGTACTTTTTGTATATTACCAGAAATAAGCAATTTTCTTTAGTTTCTATATGATATTTACTGATCAGAAATAATAAATGGACAGTGTCTGTGAAAATAGATGATATTGACCTCACAGTTTGTTGTCCATCATTATTCAAACACTTCACTTGGTAATATCAAAAAATCAAATTTGTCAGACCAAGATACATGTAGTATAATCAGTCTTGGATGAAAATTTTTAAAGAGGGTTTAGTTTTTTTTTATTACATTGACATTAATGAAATACTAGAACTTCTCCAGGCGACAGTTTGAATTAGTTTAATTCTTGTGTGATTTTTGGCCAAAGGATATTTTAACATCAAGGTGCAAATGAACTAGTCTTACAAACAACAATTTGAACCTCATTTTTAAGATTTAGAATCTTCAGAAACCATTTTAAGTAACTGATTCACCTGTAATGACTCATTTGAAACAATTTGAATGATATATACAGTTGCATATGGCAGCAAACTAACTGATCAAAAGAATCAGAAGCACCTTGTGAGAATGTAATTATATTGCAGTTTTTGGCTTTGATTACAACTGATTGTATAGAAAATAGTACATGGAAGGAAAAAATTACCTAAAAATATTTAACTTAGGGTAGTTCCGTAGAAAAGTCTTAGAGCCCCTGCAAGATAGACTACCTCTTAAAATTTAGCCCACTTAGAAAAGGGTTTTGCTAAAAGCAGGCCCGCGGCCCACAGCTCCCGACCCGCGACGGCCCAACGGTCTGCCAGGCCGAAGGTTCAGCGGCCCGTAACGGCCTGCGACCCGGACGCCCGGTGGCCCAGTCTTGATTTTCCACAGTTTTTTTGTCCAAGCGCATGCACAGATCTGCATCGGGTTTAGGCGTGCAAAACGGACGACAGTGAGTTTGAATTCGTTTACCATTTAATCATTTGAATCGATGTTTCTATTTGTTGAGTTTCTTGATGGCGGGGTTTAATTTTTCACTTTTCGCCTTGATCGAAAAGTAATCCTTTTACACTCGATATAATGTACCGTATTTCTTCGCCCAACCTCAAATATGGAGCTGCCTCCTCGATGTCCGGCAACGTAACGTCGGCAAATCGATCGGTCGCCCGACTGAGAAGTAGATTTCGCTTGTTGACCTTGGTGACAATGAGATTGAAATGCTCATTCATGGTGATNTTTTCGAGCTTAAAGCTCACCAGAAGCTTGCAATTAAAAAAGTTTTAGTCGAGAAAGAAGATGTTTTTGTTAAGTTGCCTACAGGATCCGGGAAATCGTTAATATATCAAGCACTCCCGCTCGTGTTTGACCATGTTACCGATGAAAGTGGTCATATTATTGTTATTGTTGTTGCGTTGTACCAACGTGCGGAAACACTCGATAATTCGGGCCGATTTCCTGTACCGGTGATAAGAAGCCACGAACATAACTAATCGGGTTCGCTCCAGCTAGCAGCGGACTGGCAAATGAAGAAGTACAAGTAGTGTAGGAGACGTTGGCCGACCTAAATTGCAGTGTTCTCGAAGCTTCGCCCGGTTTGTTGACGGCAAGCACGCGCTTTTTTCCTCCTGATCTCCATCTGTAGGTCGAAGCAAGCGTTTAGCCCTTGGCCTAGATTGAAAGGCGTCTTGTATTTCCTTTTGATTATTGATGTAATTTACTGTTTCTTATATATTCTGACTTTTATAATCTGTAGTAACCTCTTGAAATAGTGCGAATAAAGAGTTTCAGTTCAGTTTTTAGCTTCTTCTACTTTCTCAGTTGCTCGCTGAAACTTTAACAACCGCTCAAACAATCTAGCGTTCGTGTCGTTGGCGTAGCAGTTGACGTCTATGTTAAGCGTAGATTCTATAATTTCAACGAAATTGTGAGAAGTTTTCCCAAAAATATATACTCTATCTTTACCAGGGCACAACGATGAACATGTGAAACATTTTGAGCTCTCATTGACAAATTTCTTCAGTGTTTCTCCCGACATGATAGCTAGATCATCTGCCACATCCACAATTTAACGTGAAACCTTACGTCATTCAGATTTTCTGGTATGTGATTGGTCTGTTCAATAGACCGCGAACAAACCGCAAGGACAATGAGAAAGGAATGTAGTTCGGTTGTCAGCAGTCGTTCTTTTGGGGGAGCGTTGCGTGACATCCAAAAAAACGGCTGCGAGGAAGACTAACTTAGTAATTACTTGTAATATATATCATATTAGAATGAAAATTTGGACTAAAAAGCACAACTGTGCCACGGAGAGTAAAGCAACGGTTACGTTTAGGCCTGTAATTACAAACCTGTAATCACAATGGTAGGTGAACCGTCGACGGAAGAGACAGAAGTAACGATAGCTAACCAGATGACATTTTCTTCCACGACTAGTAAAGCTTTAAAACAAACTTCTGAAAACTTTTTCGCAATCAATAATCGAATCTATAAATGAGCAAATTCTCGAATTTGCCAAAAATGAGGGATTTGTCGCCAGTTGTCCACCAGGTTATGATTTATTTCGTGAAATGTACCCGGAAGTAGCATTGTGCCTACGCATGTTCTTTAATTTTTTTTATGCGGGTAACCGCTGGTTTACGCCTGCGCCGATTTCCTGCTGAAGAAATGAAGCCAAAATACGTCGAAAACAACTAGGGAACAAGTACTTGAGATAACCTTTCTTCTCATTTTTCTCTCGGTAACTTAGATGGAAGCTTCAAATTCTCACAGTGGTTGTGTGGTGGGCAGAAAGAAGTCAAAATTGGTGATTTTCAGAAAGCGAAAGTGTATACCAACGAGTTCGAGTCTAATGATTATTTGGGCGATGTTGATGATCTCGTGTAAATTTATAAAAGATGCAGGGGGCCTTTCGAAGTGCACAGGCGTATTGGAAGGCAATTTGATCCTGTCATTGCTATCTGAGGTTATCGTTGAACATTTAAAGTACTCGCTTTCCTGTGATCGTTTGTAGAGCTTCAACTGCCGGTGAAATGTGCGCGCAATTTCAGCGTAAAATAAGTTAACGTGAGTTATGTTTTAGTTCAAAAGTTTCTTCGACGTGAGTCATAACCTGCGGGTCCAATTATAGAAGGACAAAAGGTCAATGTCGGGTTAGAAAAGTAAGATGACGCTAGTACAAGAGATATGGTCGTTATATCTTAGGAGAAATTGGAAAATAATTATGGATTTTTCAATGAGTAGGTAACCATTCAATTGAGTGTAGTAAATAAAGTGCTCCAGTTCCAAATCAGTTAAAAGCTCTCAAGAGTCAAAGGGTTGCATGCTGACTGATCACAGTAAAAAATGGATGCCGTTTATCCCTTTAAACCCTAAGAGAGACCAGCGTCTAAATTCTCCTTACAATATCACCATTGAATCACACATTTTGGTCAGGAGAATAAAAGAAATGATCACCAACTAGAGAAGCTCTTTGAATGTTGACCAAATTCTCCTTGTCAACACCAAGTGAAATAAAGAACAGTATGGAGAATATGCGAATGATCTTAGGGTATAAAGGGTTATTCATTCAGCTGAGATGTGATGACGAGGCTTATGTTTGGAGTGTCTTAGTACAAAACCTTTATTTGATCTACAAGCTATAAAACAACATACACATCTGGTTTGATAGTAAGGTATAACTTGCCACAAAAAACTGAATCCGCGCCTCCATTGTCACAAACAATATCAAAAGTTGTTGCCTCAAACAAAAATCGTTACCAGGACTTCTCTTCTGACCTCTCCTGAGAGCAAGAGAGAATAGGAGAAGGGTAGAGACTGGGAATGAGGCTGACTAGAATCCCTGAAGAAGGGAAATGTCGTACCAACCAAAGTTTCTTACACTCACCTCCAAGAGTTGAGGTAGTTTAATGTGGGAGATTGGCTCAAAAATACACCAACAGTTGAGAGAATACTCCTATCGAGATACAAATAAAAATAAGCAAGATCAAGAATGACCTTGAACTAAGAATATCTGAAACAGTTCCCGCGTTGTTTACACAACCCACGGCTAAAATGATGTCGACATCCAATACTCAAAAAGGAAAAAAGTTGATGATGGTTACATGTGTAGTGATATCCAAGGTAAAGAAAATTTTCAGTCAACGTTTACCCAAGCGGTTGGTGTTGGAAAAATTATATACTTCTGTAAAAAGTTCTACACGCTTTTCACACATCGAAACTAACATTTTTGTGTCTGACAAATTTTTTCAAGTAATTCCTTTGTCCAGTCCTCTTCCATTCCAAGTTGTCGTCGCATTTCAAGGACAACCTTGGCAATTCTGACAGCCTCAGCAACGTCGTCTGGGTATTCTGAGTGAAGAAGCAACGCCAAGCGCGTTTTAATCCAAACCTTATATTTGTGGTTTCCTTCGATAGTGTTGTCAGCAACCTCATTTCCTTTCTCGAACGTTTTCCGAGATTCGTCAAACATTTTTCTCATTTGGAAGCAGATTCCCAGTTTAAGGTACGTGGGTATTGCCTCTTTGTGCTCTGCTCTATCCAAACGTTTCATAATGTCAATGGCTTTCATGTAGTTTTCCTCTGCCGAAGGTAGATCCTTAACGGACTGATAATGAGCTGCTATAATTTTATGGGTGAATGCAGTCAGAATATGATCTCCATGATGGGCTTGGTGAAACTCCAGAGATTGCGAATAGCATTGAAGTGCCTCATCCTTTCTTCCTTGGTTTTTTGCAATATGTCCCATTTGTTCAAGAATGGCCACCTTGTCAGATATCAACTCAGACGTTTCTTTTTCATACGATTCGCAAATACGTAGTGCTTCTTTGAAACAAACTTCTGCGTCATCTCTTTGCTCGCAATCCTGTATTAGATATCTGCCGTAATGGTGGCGATAAAACACCTCTGACGGGACGCTTTTTTCGAAAGCTGGCCTATTTTCTTCGAATAGGTTAGAAGCTATGTCCATCAAGCCTTCTGCATGCATTTTCGCACAACCCCGTTTCCTTCCTTCATAATGCAGAAGGCACAAAATTTCCACTACGTGCACTGTTTCATTTTGCTCTTGAGCATAACATAAAAGCCCGTTCAGAAAATCTTCGTGCATTTTGACGGGAACGCAGAATTCTACGTAAGGTGCGAGATTCCTGCAACCACTCACCGCATCTCGCAGTGCTTTACAGTTCCGTATTTTCTTTCTACTGACATCTCCAATCAGGGTTTCATAGTTAAGCCTTTCTTCATTAAAAAGGTCAAACGACTCTTTACATTTATCTTTGCGCATGTACATCTCTGCACTTTCCAAAATCTTTGCCAGAAAGTGTTCATCAAATGCTTGTTGGCCGTGACTCCAAACATCCGGAAATTTCTTTTCTCCTAACGTTCTAGCGTAACTTCTGATAAGCAAGTGAAGGAAGTATCGATTGTCGCGTTTTTGAATAAAGCATCTTTCCTTTAACTGCGTTAAGTGATCAGCACAATTGTTGCCAAGTAGTGCCTCCGCTGCGTTTCTTTCGAAAGATCGGCTAAAAACAGACAGACGAATCAAGGAATGCCGCAACGGCTCACTTAATTTCTCAAAGGCAACTTCCATCATGACTGGACACTTCAGTATGCGCGTAGGGCGCTCTTGTAGCTAGTCTATTAACTTGTCAACAGAGTACTCGGAATCTGAAGAAAGAAGTCGGCTTGCTAGACGAAGCACTATCGGAATGTGCTCGCACAGCTCTGCTATCTTACGTAATTTCTCTGCTGAGACATTAGAGTCCACTTGCAAACGTCCAACTCCCTTTAAGACTTGAATGCTATCCTTTTCACTCAAAGGCTCTACTGTGACTTTCTCAACAGTTAAATTTGGTCCGGTGCTCTCAATGTCTGTACGTCTTGAAGTAATTATGAATTTGATTTTTTTCTTTGAACACGTTCTCATTTCGGTTAACAATCCCATAAACGAATCTTTAAAATTGTCCTCTTGGGCATCTTCTGCATTGTCAAGCACAAGAACCAGGTCTTCCTCAAGCTGCCTACACCACATGAGCAAAGCATATTTGGGATATTCTTTGGCCGGTAGATGATCTGGTTGACACTTGCTTAAAATCTCCCTCCACACCCTTTCTCCTTCATCATCCTTGGTGTCACGCCCATTTTTGGTGGGATGCAGGTCTCTTAAAGAGCAAAACTTAACGATTCTACCGAAATCATCTTTTAGCTTATGGCCGGCTTGAAGGGAAACAGTAGACTTCCCAATCCCTGGCATTCCGCTGACTAAGACTACTGCCACGTCTTTGGTGCTATCATCTGTGAGGAGTTCTACAATCCTATCGACCTCCATCGTATGACCGTGAACATCGACTGGTAATTCAGGCAGCTCACTTTCCAGCTTACTTCCTGGGATATCAAATGAGATCCGTATATAAAAAATGTCACCATGGAAAAATGAGAAATTTAACCCTAATACTAACCCTGCACATACCAACAACATCATTTGATTACTTTTTCTAAAAATGCAAATACAAAGATAAAACAAAACAAAACAATGTACAAGTTTAAATTTAGTGGACACTGAGACTGGAAAACAAACCTAGACTGACGCTGGTCAAGTTGGCTCCCAAGTAACTAATAAGTAGATTATAAGACTTAAGAGGAAAAGTTTAATAGTAAGAAAGAGAGAGGCTCACGAGAAAAAGTTAGCGTCGTCCAATTTTTGAAACAAACCTTTCTCTCTCCCCGCATCCAACATCTCGTGCAACACATCCGGCACTCCGTCGATCTTCTTACCCAGGTCATCAAGTTTTTCTGAAACATGTAGCAAAAATCACTTATGATTAAATATTACACTTTGGCAATCACCACATCATTTCTACAACTAAACTTAAAGTAAAATGTGCAGAATAATATGAAAGCCGAAGGATTCAATCGATCTCTTAATTAATTTGAAAAATAAGTTAACTAAAATGTAACCGGCAGCACTGCATTTATTTTATGCATGGCGTCTTATTTCAAATACAATTGCTGCGCTCGCTGTCTTTCTTCCATTCAGAATCCGTTAAAGACAACCCTATTTTTCCAGTTTTTGTGTAATACGCTCCATTTTTGAGTTGCATCGAGTGATAAAATCACTAGAAAGCTTGGTAACCAAGCATGTTTTACAGGGTTTGCTGGAAGAAAATGCTACGTGGAGTATTCTCGGTGCTGATTTTTCGATGATTTTCGGTCGCGACGGAACTTGATAACATTGTGAAAAATTTGCAACTACCGGGAACTTCTCGACTTTTTCTAGCATTATATTGACTTTGTTTTCTTTCGGAAACATGAATGTTGTCTCTCGTGATTATCAAATAGTTAAAAATTAAAATTTCTCTGAACGAGTCGGTAAAAGACCGGACAACATGTCCGGAAATCCAATCTCCGATCAATACTGACTGGGCATTATCCGTTGACCGGCCTTTATTTACAGCCCTGTAATAAAATGCTTATTGACTGAGTTTGGTCGAGCAGACGGTAAAATATTTGGCTCTCGGTCATGAGGCACGTCATGACCTTCAGCCAAATATTTTCCCGTCAAGCCCTTCCACTTAGTCAAGAAGTACACGAAGACATTTCATTTCATGCTAAAAACATACGAAACTGGGGTCAATTTGAGATATTTTGTAGGGAACATTTTCAAAATTCAATCATGAAGATGTTCCTCGACATTAGCACCTGTAAATCTAGCGACCAAGATGACAACCTATATTCTGTCTTCTTTTCAAAGCTTTCGATTTTTTCCTTGACATCTTCCTCATCCTTGATCATCTGCCTTACTTGATCTATATAATCTTGTTCAACAACTGGATCCATACATTCAGTCTTCAAGGCATCCATTTCAGTCTTCTTTCCGCCGAGTCTCTCAATTGCGTCCTGGATGTCGGTCCAGATGGTGTTGAAAGTTGCATCATCAACAGAAGTCTTGGCTGCGTGAGTGACCCTTTCGACCCTTTCTAAAAATCTTTATTCGGACAATATCAGCCTCACGACTCGTATCTGATGGTTTGGGAAGATCATTCCAATTGCTGGTTGATGGAGGAGGACTTAAATTACAAATGTTCCTCAGAAGAACCATCAAAAGGGATATGTCAAAATCCATGGATGATACAGTTGGTGCCGTGGTTGATCCTGGAGCAAAGGCTGGGTATAATTTTTTCTTCTGCGAAGAATTTGTCACCTTGAGAAGTTTAGCTCTATTTGTTGCCAGGACTGAAGAAAGGTTGCTTGAAGGGTGGATTCCGTCAAATATGTCTCTCAGAGCTGGGGTACCAAAATCCAGAACAAGACGACAGATTCGCGCATAATTTGTTGTCTCTTTGGTGGATGTTGCTGAAGGAGTAGTCATTTTCACAAAAGGTTTTCCTCCTAAAGGTAATTAATGAATAGAGCATAAAGAAATTGTGAGGGAAGTCATCAAAAAGCACATGCAACAACATCTTAAAAGAAAGAGCTTTGGGTCATTCCCAATAAAATAATCGCTTCATCATACTTTGAATATTTCGCATTGCAATAGCCCATTTCCTAATTACCCTTGGCCTCTTTTTCAAAACGAGGCCTGGTACTCAACCATTCTTGTGAAAATGAGTTTAATTTGCATGTGAATGGAAACTTATAATCATATGAAAGGATGAGCACCAGGACTCGTTTTGAAAATGAGGCCAAGGGTAATTCAGAAATGGGCTATTCCACAAGAGCATAATTATAAATATCCACATACTAGGCCTTGAGCAAGAGCTGGATGACAGTACAATACAATACAAGCAAAGAGAATTAAAATAAGCAATGACAGATTTAGGAATTTTATCAATTGGTCAAAATTTTGTTTAACAAAAGTCACATTCTTAACAAGATGCTCCACTCTGTAATTAATATTTCAAACAATTACTTTCTATAGATAAACAAAAATTTAAAGTCGCTCTTTCAATTAGTAGTATGGAGAAAATCTTTAAATTATTTTAGGTTCACAGAAACCTGTTCATAATAATAAACAAAAAATAATAGTCAGTCCTGCTCATGAATTGCAAATGGATAGGGGAGCAGCCATAATAAACTATGATAACAGAAAAATAATAGCCAAATAAAACCAATTATTCAAGGAGCTTATTTTTAATTGATTAAATAATTGAATTATTTAATCATGAATTGCATATGTACATGAATTGCATATGGATAGGTGAGCAGGCATAATTAACTATGATCACCAGAAAATAATAAGAAAAAAATTATTTGATTATTAAAATACAACAACAACAGAAATAATGTATTTGGAAAGCTCAATCACATAGAATTTTTGAACACTGACACTGACAAAGTCTAGTCTCTAGTGCAGGAAATGCATAAAATAATATTGACAATCAACATTAAAACTTGACTTGTGGATGATAAACGGCGAGTGCCACAAGTCAAACCTCACATGCAGCGTGCATCTGCTGATGTTTGATGCTATTATATGATATCCACACACATGAGAAAAACTCTCAGTCTAGAAGTTTTGTATAAGACATCATAATTTTACATTCCCTTCACCAAAAAGAATGGAAAATAACACTGCTGAGTCAAAAAAAAAGATGTCACATGAATGAAAAATAATTCTGATATTTTGTTTGGCTTCCTCATTTAATTGGTTGCTTTGCAAACTGGACCTGTAAATATTTGTAAAACTAAAAACAATTTTTTTGCCGCGAGCTCACTTAACTTGTAACGAGGGCAAATATTGAGGGGGAAATTCAACCAGGTTTTAGTGAAATGCGCCACCCTCTTTGCCACACGTCAACACTGTGCAGTATGTTCACCTCTCCACTTTTGTACACCAGACATGTGCTTGAGGTTAACCAGGTTGAAATTCATATCAGACTTAAGACGTACTGAGCATTAAACATACACGTACAAAGAAAATTCACCAAGGCTCAATATCACAGAGACTTTAGAACATCAAAATAACATAGCAGATGATGCTGAATAAAAAAACCGAGAGCATTCAGTTTTTTGACAGTCTCAACAAAATGAATTGAGCTGTTACAAAGGCCATTTGAAAGGTAAGCCTTCTCTATAGTTTTGAATTTAGGTGGAAGATGTAGGTTATCAGTTGCCATGATTTACTAAACATTATTTTAATCAATATCTTATTCCTCTTTGACTTTGCCAAAAACACTGACTGTTGAGGAAAACAGAATACTTTCATTGCCATCTGACAATTATTACTTGGAACTGACCTGCACATGCCTTCCAGTTGATTTAAAGAAACTGAACAAAAAAAATTGCAGTTAATCTGTTACATCACAAAGCATGAAAAAAAAAAAAAAGACTGTAACAAGATTAAAGTCAGGGCGCTTCCATTCACCTAAACTGCTACATCACTGTTTTTATCCTTCCTGAACCTGTAGCCATCTACCGCTACTAAGTATGACTGATGCTCAAGTGCTGTCTATAGTTGTAATGAATAGCTTTCATAAATCGTTCTGATCATAAACAGGTAACTTAACCCTTTAGTTCGCAGAAATGATTATTATGCATAACCTAGCTCTTCCTATAATATCTACATATTATCCAGCAGATGGCTAATGAGAATACTTAAACTTATCAGGTAAATATGATGCACAATCCTCGCAGTTAAGATGGCGCTATTTAAGCAATAGTGAAAATCAGACCTGAAAAAATTCAGGCCTGTACGGGATTCGAACCACTGACCTCTGCGATACTAGTGCAGCGCTCTACCAATCGAGCTAACAAGCCAACTGGGAGCAGGCCATTAAGTTGATTCGTAATAAACCCGTGAAAGTGATAAATGAGATACAATGAAATATATGAGGTTCATATATTTTGTACTGCGGTATTAGGCCTGATTTTTTTTCATATATTTGAAATATATGAAGTTTATATATTAATTTTTGTACTCCGGTCACAGGCCTGATTTTGTTCAGGTCTGATTTTCGCAATAGCTTAAATAGCACCATCTACTGCGAGGATTGTGCATCATATGTATCTATCACCTCTACTTGTTTGAAGTCAAGAAACAATTTTGAGACAAACTCAAGGGGAAAAATGGAATGTCACAGGTACTTATTGTGATCTTCAATGCTGGAATACACTAAGTGAAGTGACTGTGCCAGAGCAAGTTTCAGAATGCAGAAACAATTCAATTAATGTATCAAATAGGTTATAGAGCAATGGGCTTCAAGGCCATGATGAAATTCAAAACTAAGTCGTTTAAACCACTTTCAACAATGTTTCAAGGCTCAAGAAAGCCCCCATTTGGCCATTCAGGACAAGTAGACTACTGACTTGGGCAATTAACTTTCTCTGCCTGCTAAATGCTTGCAAGGCAAGCAACTCCAGGAGATTAACCATTCAATGGATTTTAATTAAGAAAAGTCCTCCTATTCCAAATCAGTTAAAAGCTGTCAAGAGTCAAAGGGTTGCATGATTTAAAACATTTGTACATAACTTCATTGAAAGTGATGCTTAACATGCATATTCATTTCAATCTTGGCAATTATAATGGTTTATATACTAGTCCGGTAAACCTTGTTTCAAAACGGTTGATTGTTAAAAAGCTTGGGTGTAATGCCTTTGTACATCCAATATCCTGCAGTTTTAGGCTTGATGCTATTTCATCTTGGTCTTTAACTAGCTTCCATCTTTTCTACTCCTTATGAATAATTCAATTAACTCAAACTCAGGGAAAAATGACTCAGACAAGTCCAAGTTGGGATTCAGACTTTTTCCAAGCCTAATGATTGACTGTATGGTACTTCAACCCTTGCACTGCCAAGATCTCATTAGAAATTCTCTCTGCTGTCTGCTCCACAATTCTTATGATGTTCCTTTGGAGAATTTGGTATTGGATCAAGTTGTAGAATCACTGATGTGCGTAAAGATCCAACAAAATCACGATTTTGGACACTTTTACTTCTCTCCTGACTTCTCCTAATAATAATAATAATAACGAATATTTATACAGGATAGCCCTTCAGTGCAGGAGCACTGTTATTGATGGGGTCCTGTCTAAATAACATAATATAAGGATAAAAACTAGAATAAGATAAGGATGACTACGCACCTAATTAAATGCCCTATGCAAAAAATTGATCTAAAGACTCCCTAAAAGGTACCCTACTGCTAATTTGGTTGATTTTTAAAGGTAAAAAATTAAAAACTGAAGCTCCTAAAAAATAAAAACTTTTCCGAGCAAAGTCAAGTCTCACTTTCGGCAGAGCAACGGTGGTCCCTCTGTTCCTCGTATTAAAATCGTGGGTTAACAATTTAAAATATTCTTTGAAAGGACTACAAACATTGCCTTTTAGGCAATCAAAAACAAATAAACAAGCCTTTTTCTTTAAAAAATTTTCAATTGTGGGTAGACGAGAGAGAGAAAGAGAAAGAGAGTAGAGGAAGGGTAACGACCGTGGGAATGAAGCTGACTAAAATCCCAGAAGGGAAATGTAGATAAACGAAAGTTTTTAACACTCACTTCGGAGAGTTGAGGTAGTTTATTGAGGGAGATTAGCTCAAAAATACACCCACATTTGAGAGAATATTCACATCCAGATACAAATAAAAATAAGGTAGAACAAGAATGACCTTGAACTAAGAATACCTGAAACAGTTCCTGTGTTATTTACACAAACTACCGCTGAAATCATGTCAAAATGCAAAATTCCAGAAGGAAAAGAGTTCAGACCGAATGTTGGAATGACTGAATGAAAATCAAAAAATATGGCACATGATTGAAAAATTGCAAACCTTCATATTTGCCCAGAGATACCTTATAGTGAACTTAGAAATATGGCAAGGTTTTCTTTTTTACAGACTTGCTTCTTCGTCCTAGAAAATTCACGAAAACTAAAACAAGCGTCGGCTGTAAAACGGTGGAAATCAGCCCCGAGTAGAG